ATGGAGACATCTGGCCAGTAGAAGGCTCTCGCTCCCTGCCCCCCCCCCTAAATCTCACGTGGCTCAGTTTGGAAGAGAAGTGCTCGGAAGGGCGAGCAAAGCGCTTGTTTAGAAAATATTAACTTGGCTCGGCTGGAGGGAGGAGTTCACCCGGAACCGGAGCAAAAGAGCTGCAGAGCAGGGCGGGGAGGCGGGAGAGAATAGAATTGCGGATTCTGCTCAAAAGTTAACCTGTAATGCAGAAAGGCTATTCATTAACCCGCCGGGGCAGGATCTGCTGCTCCACTTTTAGTAGCCTAAGAGAAATAGGAGGCCCCCCCTCTCCCCCCCCGCTTTTGCATTCGGATTAATCAGCAACTGGGAAAAGCGCAGAGACTGGAATGGGAACGTCTGGATCGCCCAGGGAGGGTCTCGTGAGTCGACAGGTGTGTCTGTGTGTATGCCCACAGACAGCGTTACTCTCGTTGCTTGTTTAAATCCAGACCTCCTTAATACGTTTCTGTAGATCTGCACATCCAGGCAGCTCCCCCCCCCCAAAAAAAAGTCTTTACGTCTTTCTTCTTAATTCCGCTAATAAACACATCGAAACGAAAGGAACCCGTGAATGTCTGAGACCTTCCCGCTTCCCTCGGCCAGTCAGGCTTCGGTACAGTACTTTCAGTTTCCCGAAGAAGAGAAAAAAAACACTACAGGAGTTGGTTGTTGCTGTTGCTTTTAAAAAACAGAGGATCCAATACTCATTTAAGCCGACAGCTACGTCTATCTGAATGTAGCTGGGTAGCCACGCCCTTTCGCTTAATCGTGGCGCTGAGGGAGCGCATAAACTCTCGAGGCTCCATCATTGAAAGTCAAACCTCGACGCACGAGCCCTTTTTAAAAAATCCAACCAACAAGTTAGGCACACAGGGGACTTGAGCCACAGGGGACTCCCTTCTAAAGGAAGCAATCACGCACGGATTTGGACTTCCAGGCTGAAACCCTCAGGAGGGAGCGCCACTGAATCCAAGGACAGGCGTTTCCAAATGGGCATCAATCCAGTCATTCTAGGCGCCCCGGGATTCAGGAAGCTTCCTTGAACCACGCTGAACTTTACTTCCGAGCAAGGATCAGCTTGGAGCCTTCCCTGACAGCCACTTCCGTCGCCGCCCCCACTCCCCCAAGTCTGATTCCCACGTGTAGGCGGCCAGGTGGGATTTAGGAAGGAGTGTTCTCTGAAATCCGCTGGGATCTCATCCTCCCAATATTTGGCGTGTGTGTGTGTAGCACCCGGCTCCTAGACATTTAAAAGTTGTGCAGAAGACAAGAGCGGAGGGCTTGGTAAATCACGCATCTGCTAGCCTTTCCGCTTCTGAGCCACTACGAAAGGTTCAGGCGTCCTCCCTTCTTGCGCACCTGGGCCACCTGCGCGAGATCCCCAGCCATTAGGCGTGTCCCAAAAGACATGAAGTCGGGAGAGAGAAGAGCTGGACACGTACATTGTTACGGAATTCAAGAAGACCTGCCCAAGTCAGGCGCAGAGGGTCCCATGCCCCTGTGCGCGTTCACTGTTAGAGGAATCGGAGGACGCAATTAGCACGCAGAAAGTTCAGTTAGGTCGTTTTAGACTCTGGAGTTAATACCCCCCCCCATAAGATTTACTTCATAATGGATCCAGCTTTGCTCATATCAAATGCGGTGAGCCAACCCGGCTCAGTTTTGGGAGTCCTCCTGCTCATCTCGCTCTGTGGGGCCCCGGACTTCCGCCGGAAAGTCACTTTCTGGAAGTTTCAGGTGTTTTGTTTTATTTATCGGTACCATTTCTTACCTGCCCGCCACCTGAAGGTCCCAGGGCTGGGTACAGCAAGAGAAAACACAATGTTAAACCAAACAAAACCATCACAATACTATAATAGAACGGTTCCAAAAGGAACCGCTGGAAACACTGCTGTCAAGATTTAGGCAGTCGATGCCGGTCCTTATGGATCATATAGAGCTGGGAAGACCTATGCTAAAAGCAGAGGTGCCAACCTGAATAAAATATTGGGGGGAGGGGGAGGTAAGCCCGGCCCCACGTAATCACAAGACGCGGCACACGCACACTATGTGAATGGCACTGTCCATCAACTTGCGGGGGGAGCCTGCCCCCTCAAATATTTTATTGGGGGGGGGCGAAGGGATCTAAATTCCTAGGATCTGGCTCCTATGGCTAGAAGTTTCATGTCATGGTTGCTATTAGAATAGAAGAGGCAGTCTATATATGCTACAGGTGAACTCCTGCGAGGACTGTCCTGTTCCATTTGGCGAGTCCAAGGCTAGGCCGGCGAGGAGGCCGAGTGGATTCTGGGAAAATCTGAACGGGGTGGCTCCAGGTCTGCTTTCCCCTTCGTTGGCACCGTCCTCGGTCTTTTTGGCAAAGTGAAATACGACTTCGATTGCCCTCGGGCTTAGCTTTGAATAATCGCTGGGCTCTAGGGACTTCGGCTGTATCCCACTTACTTGGGAGTCAATTCCATTGAATTCGATTAGGCTTGCTTTTGAGTAAACATGCCTAGAGCTGACGGCTCCCAGTTGGGGGACCGTGTGTGTGTGTGTGTGTGTGTGTGTGTGAGAGAGAGAGAGAGAGAGAGAGAGAGAGAGAGAGAGAGAGAGAGAGAAGCAAAAGAAAGAACCTATAAAGGCCAAACGACTTGATTTTCACGGCTCAGGTTTTTAGGCGGCTTACCCCGCTGACCTTGAACATCTGGATGTATGGTCCGCTGACGTGTGTATATGTGCATGTGTAAATCACGGGCGTGTAAATTATAGATCTAAGGCGTAAATCCAACGCACACTTTCCTGGGAATTGAGTCCCGTTTGGATACAGTGGGACTGACTCGGGAGTCAACGTGGATAGGGTTGTGCTGTGCACGTCTACCTGGGAGTAATCTGCACAGAGGAATTGCTCAGAATGTGCAGCCAATCGGCTTAGATTCAAGCGCTCTTTGGTTTAACCGAGTTGTAGACAGGTCTGAGTCCGGAGCGGATCCTCTCCAGTGTTTTACAGCACCACTGCTAAAGCACTGCACGTATAAATTGCCATCTTATATGAGCGCCTGCCACAATTGTTAGCTAGCTCAGCTTCTGCCCTCGCTTTTCCTCAGGCTCGGTCGCTTTCAGGAGTTTTCACGTGCTTGTGAACGCGAGCGAGTCCCTGGAAACGCGTGGGAGGCTCTCTGGCAGAAGAGTGGGCCGGAGGGGGGAGGCGAAGAAAAGGGAAGGGCGAAGGCTTGCGCGAAGAAGGCCCGGTGTTTGCGTAGCGCGGGCGCGATCGTTAGCGGGATTTAGCTGCATCAACAACAAGAGGCGGCTCTTGGGCCGCTTGCTTTCCATCCTAAGCCCACTTAGGGGGTGTAATGGGATGAGGCGGCATCGAGGGCACTTGCAAGGAAACGTGCGTTGGAATCCAGGCGCGAGAGAATCTGAATGAGCAACAGAGGAGGCGTGTCCGGGGTTGTAGGCGATCCTCAACGCAGCTGAGCCACCACGCCCTTGGACCCCTTCCCTCCCCCCTTTGATACCCGCATCCTCTCAGTAATTCTACTGGCACTTCGAGCTCAGGTGTGTCTTAGTTTAGCAAAGCACCCCGGATCCACAGCGCACAGGTTCTGCTTGATGATTGTGACCACTAGTTGGTTTGGCATAAACTGTGCTTGGCACCGCGGGTCCAATCCAATGGTTTCAATTTAAACCGGGAGCTGTAGCCGTTTCAGAAGTATTGTCAGAAAAAGACAACAAGGTGGAGGGAGGGGAGATAAGGAGGAATGCCAGGAACAAGGGCTTTGCAGACAAAGAAAAAAATCGCGATTCCACACACACACATTCATGTCCTTTTCTACACGCAGGCGACGTTTAAGCTTTTCGGATCATCTGCCTGGTTCTACCGCCACTTGAGGCGGAGGCCGGTCTCCTTCCCACTAGAGGGAACAGTTCCCGACACAGGGGGCCTGGAAGAGACCATTGGGGGGGGGAGGAAAAGTGGGGTGGAGGTGGTGGAATTAATTCACCAGGAGACGCTCTCAGACGTCATGCAGCCCCACGGTTTTAATTGGGATTTGTAAGTCGATCCTATGACTTTCCCTCCGAATAACGTTCCTTCCAGAACCAGGACTAACGCCCAGAGGAGGGGAAATTTCAAGGCTTTCTTCGTGGCTGGGGAGCAGCCCTTCGCCTCCCAAATAAAATTTTCTCCATTTGAAATCTGCAAAAAAGACGCGACGAAGTTATTAGCTATAATAACCGCTTTTGCTTTTATTCTTTTATTTTATTAGGAGAGCTGAATGGCCACACGACGGTTTGTGTGTTTACAGGAGCTGGCTGCTTGCTCACACCCAGTTTGATGTTTTTTAAACATTGAACAGAATAGTTGTGGCTAAGCTGAGCACCCGCGTTATGTTCGTTTCCACGGCATTTCTCTCTTTCCAGGGCCCTCCAAAGGGAATGGGTTTAGTTGTTCCCCACATTTCTGGCAGAAAAACTAGTTTCTGGGTACCAGAAATTGGTTCGTTGTGTGTGAAACGGATGTGTGAATATGGGAAGAATTTTTTCCAGAGAGCCAGTTGGTAGGATTTCAATGATTCGAGAAGCAAAAGCATTCTAGGCCACGAGTCAGAGCAGAGGTTGTTCTATTTAATCCAGAAAAACATAAACCCGCATTTATTTCAATCGAATTATCATTCAAGGAAGTGGTTTCAGGTTGGAACGTCTGAAGTCCAGTCAATGGAAGCGCAACTGAGCTGGAAAGTAGAGGGGGGAAAAAAGATCTTTATAGTTTCATTATTCGTGACCCCTCCCCATCTCCCCTTGTACTGTCAGGTAGAAACCACAGAATAATTATTCTTGTTTAATTAATATATACCGCTCATTGCCAGATCAGGCATTAGGACCCTGCTGCCCTGCCTCTCTTTTATTATTACTATTATTTAATAAATTTGTATACCGCCCTTCATCCGAAGATCTCGAATAACGCGGCGATGTCTCCACAGGACTTGGAGAAGCCTGGGGACACGCGAGTCGAACCAGCCCTCTGGACAACGTTGGGCGCGAGCTGGGATCTCACCTTTTGCAGGTACTAGTCCGGAATGCAGCTCCTTAAGGTTTTGTAGGGAGAGCCCGGGCAACCCAATCGAGATAGCGGCAGACTGGGAAGGAAGGCTATAGAAGGCTCGTGATAGAAGACCAACACGGGCTTGATGCTCTTTCCTACGAGTTCCTGAACCAGACTCAAGGTTTGCAGGCGATCGAAACGGTCCCCTGGGGAGCGACCTGCAGATCTGTCGGGCCCCAGCCATGTAAAATGTCCTTTCTTTCTCTCCCTGATAAATAAGGGGACACGTCGCGTTGACTTCAGTGGTGGGCCTATGGCAAGTCTGTTTCAGGATTTGCTGGAGGGCGGGGTCGCATTTCGGCCCCTGTCGTTGCCAGTTTAATAGTGCCAGGGAGCAGGTGACAGAAAAGGCCCTTCCGCCTGGGATTCTGGACACTTTCCGAGAAGACAATCGTGGTTTAAAGGGGCAAGGCAAATAATCTGTCTCATATGATCTCCGGAGATACTGGAAGGCTGTTAATGATCATTATGTGTTTTATATAATTCAAAACCATGTCGTCCAGAATAGTAATACGGGTAAGGGCAACGTCAGCAACGTTTGAATCAATGCACGACTGAGATAAGCACCGGTACTGATTCTGACTCCATTTAAAATCAGTGGGATAGTTTCAATTCCCTGAGGGTTCTGAAAAAGGGAGTGAGTTTATAGCTATACTACAAGCTGAAGTCAGATATCTACTGCTATATATTCCCCAAAGAGTCCTGTGAACTGTTGGATTAATGGGAGATTCTCTGAAGAGAGCTTGGAGATGAGAGACTCCTTTAGGGGGAGAGAGAGAGAGAGAAACTAAAGGTGTCTCCTCCTCCCAAGGTGGGACCAAGAAGAAGGAGGAAGTGGGAAGTGAGGTCAGCAACTCTGAGAGTATCACATCAGAAGGAAGGTATACAGTCTACACAGTTGGGTCAGAAAGACAGTCTAGGAAATTTGGTTCTTCTCCTTATCCACTTTCTCCCCATGCAAATCCCATCAGCCTAAATACAGGAAAAGGATTCCCTGGGGACAAGGATGATTGTGGATTTAGGATCAGATTTTTAACTGTGATGGCAATTGAATGAAGGCCTGTCTTTTGTATTTCACACTCATTATCAAACCATTTTTGTCTCTGACAGTGCAATCCTATACATTTCTATTCACAGGTAAGCCCCACTGAGTTCAGTGGTACTTACTCCCAGGTAAGTGTGTATAAGGATTGCAGCCTGAAAGTCGAGGCTGCTCCTCCTCACTTGTTAAGGCCTGGAGGAGAGAGCAAAGAAGGGTTGGCGAGGACCATAAAACCAGACTTGTACACACAGCTCTTTTCTGCCCCTTTCCTTGCAGACTTTGGACGGTTTCATATTTGTGGTAGCTCCGGACGGCAAGATCATGTACATCTCCGAAACCGCCTCTGTTCATTTGGGTTTGTCACAGGTATGTTATGAATGTGCAGGCATGCACAGGATCCAGGCAAAGAGGGAGGGGGAGCCAGTTTGATGAGCAGCATTCAAGGCCAGGAACCTCACGTGCAAGACCTGAACACTTCACCTCCACTGCTTCTGGCGAGCAAGGCAGGTGAAGCCAAGCCTGTTTGCCAGTGCAAATCCTAGCCCCATTTACTAGTCAGTCCCATTCATTTGGAGGAGTGTTTTTAAGCACATCCTTTCAAACTCAGTAAGATGTACTTCTGAGTCAACATGCACAGGGTGGTGCTTTCAAGTCCCATTGACGATGACTTCAGTGCAATCCTAACAGCCTGATCCTAAATGTACTTATTAATTAAATTTGTATACCACCCTTCATCCACAGATCTTTTTTTTTTTAAAAAAAATGATATTTATTAAAGTTTCAGAAAAGGTTACAAAAATAGGAAAAAGAGGGGGGGAAAGAGAAAATACAAAATACAGAAAAATAAAAACAGTTAAAAACCAATCAATCTTTCCATGTCTTATCTTTCATTTACTTGTTTCCCTGACCTCCTCACACCTCCCTTTTTTGTATTCCGGTTCAGTTAGTTATTTCAGCAAATCCTTTCCCTCTTTGTTTTTATCTTAATCCTTTATCTTAATATATTATAACTTTAGATTCTCACCTATTAACAATCCATTTTTACATACTCCTTTATAACATTGCCGCTAAAACCACTTAACTTCATTCCAACATCATTCTAACATTCATTAATTTTGCAGTATTTCTGTAGATAGTCTTTAAATTTCTTCCAATCTTCCTCCACCGACTCTTCTCCCTGGTCTCGGATTCTGCCAGTCATTTCCCCCAGTTCCGTATAATCCATCACCTTCATCTGCCATTCTTCCAGAGTGGGTAGATCTTGTGTCTTCCAATACTTTGCAATAAGTATTCTTGCTGCTGTTGTAGCACACCTTCATCCACAGATCTCAGGGTGATGTACTTTTTGGGAAGCCTCACTGGGTTCAGTGGCAGTTCGCTGCAGAGGAACATGAACAGGACTGGAGCTTAGCCAACATTTCCGTTGCACTGGAAGTCCATTCCATTAAACACTCACATAGTGTTTAATTGAATAGACCTGGGGCATGCTGGCACTCAGTGGCATAGTGTGGGTTGCCAGCACCCAGGGCCATGAGGAGGGGTGGGTGGGAGCGAAATGGATGGAGTACGCATGCACATTCAACTGTTTAACAGTGTCCAGGAGTTTGCAGCCACAGAGATAAGAAGAGTTGTTCAGGTGTCTGGAGAAGTCACTTCCTGGTTCACATGGAGAAGCCGTTGCCAATGGAGTCTAGCAAAAGAAGCATGCAACTATATCGAGGCAGCACCGGGTGTTGAAATTTTACATCCTTAACAATTTTGTGCCTGGGGCAACTGCTCCTGTGGCCCCCCATGCTATGCTATTGCTGGCGCGCCCATAGTACAGTTCCAGAAATCTCTGTCCAGAAGATTGGCTGAGCTCCTGTGCAAGATGAATTCTGTGATGACAAGGAGGTGAAGTGTTGACCCATCTTGCATCCTGGGCTCCTTCAAGAGAAAGAGTGGGATATACATTCAATTAACAATATTTCCTTTTACAGCTCAGGCAAAGCTTCACCTGTTGAATTTCTAGTCACATTTAAAGGCACAGCAAACCTGCTGAAGATTGGCAACTATGCCTCTTACCTGCTGCCAGTCTTGTGCATGTTTACTCAGAAATAAGTTTTCCTTCAGTGGGGGTGTGCTCAGCCTTAGATCCAAGGCTGGATGTGGAATCTGTGGCCGCCCAAGAGTTGCTGAACTCCAGCTCCCATCATCCCTGTCCAATGGCCATGCTGGCTGGGGCTGATGGGAACTGGAGTCCAACAACGTCTGGACAGGACCACCCCATTATTGGTTTAAGGTATCGAATTGCTTGGTGCAGATGCCATTTTGCAACTGAACCTGAACTGTCCATCTAATTTGAAGGAGCCTTGTTCCTTTTCATGGTGTGAATTGACGTCCTTCGTGGGTGCTTCAGATTCCAGACCAGAACCCGAAGAGAGAAGAGGCTCAATTCCGTCGAGTGGCTTAAGGGGCTGAAGGCGGCTGAGATCACCCTGGGCATAGAATGGGGGCACATTGCGTCGTCATCGATGGAAAGAAAGATATAGCCGGGGGTTGAACTACTAAATGACCCATTGGGTTCCTTCCAACTTTACAATTTTATTGTTTTCTTTCCCCTGCCCCCGATGACTCCTTCTTGCAGGTTGAGCTGACAGGCAACAGCATTTACGAGTACATCCACCCAGCCGACCACGACGAGATGACCGCCGTCCTCACCGCCCACCAGCCGTACCATTCCCATTTCGTTCAGGGTAAAGTTCACCGAGTAAAGCAGCGGGTGGGAAGGAAGGCAGTGGCCGGCGGCAGAGGTCAGCCTCTTCCCTGACATGCGCATTGTGCCCTCTTGTTTACTAGAGTACGAGATCGAGCGCTCCTTCTTCCTAAGGATGAAATGCGTCTTGGCCAAGAGGAACGCCGGGCTGACTTGCGGAGGCTACAAGGTAGGTGGGCTCACGAGCGCCAACTAGCGGCAGAGCGAAGAACTGTTTGCGCCCGGACTTTACAAAGACAAGGGTGCTTTGAAACCTTCACTGATAGGATTACAGTAATCGGGAACCAGTTGGAGCTGTGTAGCATTGCATGTTTCCACCTCGATTTGAAGCGCATTTACTTGGCAGCCAATCCCACCCGTTTCCCGGGGACTTGATCCCAGTGAAGGCTGAGGTTCCTTGCGTACTTGTTTGGGAGAAAGCCCCACGCAGCGGGACTCACCTCTGGGTAAACAGGCATAGGATTATTCCGTGAGCCAGCAATCCTCTGCATATTTGGGAGTAAGACCCTAAAAATCCCAGTAATTGCTTTCGGTAAGACTTAAAGGCTGTGCAAATCCTCTGCATAGAGAAAATAAGGCTGGAAACGGCAGAAGGGGAGAGAGCTCTTGTGCGCGGGCCCTGCTTGCAAGTTTCCCACAGGGACCTAGGGGGCCACAGTGAGAACTGGATGCTGGACCAGATGGGTCACTGGCCTGATCCAGCAGGCTCTTCTTATGTGGTTATGCTGAGCAGCTTACTCCCCTGGAGGTCAAGGGTTGGGATTTACTTCCAAGTAAACACACATAGGCTCTCACTGTAAGTGTTCTGGGCCTGGAGATTTTGGGAGGCCGTAAAGGGACGGGGGTGGTGCTGTGGGTTAAACCACAGAGCCTAGGACTTGCCAATCAGAAGGTTGGCGGTTTGAATCCCCGCGACGGGGTGAGCTCCCATTGTTCGGTCCTGGCTCCTGCCAACCTAGCAGTTCGAAAGCACATCAAAGTGCAAGTAGATAAATAGGTACCACTCCAGAGGGAAGGTAAATGGCGTTTCTGTGCACTCCTCTGGTTTGCCAGAAGCGGCTTAGTCATATTGGCCACATGACCTGGAAGCTGTATGCTGGCTCCCTCGGCCAATAAAGTGAGATGAGCGCTGCAACCCCAGAGTCGGTCACGACTGGACTTAATGGTCAGGGGTCCCTTTACCTTTTTAAGCTCCAGTGTGGTCAATGGCACTTCCCCCATTAAGTTGCCAAAGTCCAGGCTAGTGCTGTCAGTGGAAGACATTTCAGAGTAAACATATTTAGGATCTGGTTGTTGGCTTGCTTCAGGTCTAAACCACTGAGCCTCTTGGGCTTGCTGATAGGAAGATTGGCGGTTCGAATCCAGGCAACGGAGTGAGCTCCCGTTGCTCTACCCCAGCTCCTGCCAACCTAGCAGTTCGAAAGCACACCTGTGCAAGTAGATAAATAGGTACCACTGCAGCAGGAAGGTAAATGGTGTTTCGGTGCGCTCTGACTTCCATCACCAGAAGCGGTTTAGTCATGCTGGCTACATGACCCGGAAAGTTGACTGTGGACAAACGTCAGCTCCCTCGGCCTGAAAGCAAGATGAGTGCCACAACCCATAGTCACCTTTGACTGAACTGTGCAGGGGTCCTTTACATTTTATCTTACATACTTTCAGTGGTGAAGTGATACCTTCTGAAGTGCAGGCGCTCTTCATGATAACTCCCCATAGCCATGCCCCAGTTGACCAATGAGGACATTATGGCTTCAGTTACCATGCCAGCTTTTTAAAATTCAGCCTCAGGAAGAGTTCAGAAGGACTCCGCCGCATGCTCACGATGGCTTGACGTTTTGGTTGACCACAAAAAAGGGGCTTTGGAATTTTCCAACAAAAAATGTGCCAGTTTACCCTTTAGCCCCATATGCTGATGTCACCTCTCTCTTCTTCTGTTTAGTGGATGGGTTTCTCTCTGAAGAAAGCTTATTTTACAGGCAGAGGGTTGGCCAAGAGCATCCTAGGAGATGACGCCACCGCCCCTCCGGTGACATCAGTGGTGGCACTTCCTCCCTGCTCTCCTGCACACTTTTTTTGAGTTGGGTTGCTGAAGTCTGCGATCGTATGCACGGCTTTCTAGGAACAAATTCCCAGTGAACTTTCCCCCGAGGAGATATGCCTAGGGAGGCGCTTTAAGAGACCTCAGAGTGCCTGTCTGTCATAACGCAGCAGCTTACCTTGTTGAGCTGCAATATTCACTCCTGAGAGTAACCCCCACTGAATTCAATTGGATTTACTTCTGAGTAGGCATGGTTAGAACCGCGTTATTGCAGTGTTTTCCAAGAGCCTTGTGTTTTCTGGAAGAAAACTCCTTTGATTTCGGGGCTAACTTAGTTTGGAGCAAGTCTGTTGAGCACTAAATCACGTGCATAATATTCGACTGCGGGGAATTTAGTTGTGTGAATAACTGCGTAGTTTCCGAAGGAGGGAAGGCCTGTTTTCCGATTTTTTACTTGCTTCAGGACTGTGCCTAATTCTGTCGAGGACGCCTTTCTTGAGAGGCTTGAGAACTAACTGCCCCTCCGGCTGCAAGGTAGCCCACGTAATTCAAAGGGAGGCTGCCAAGCAATCGCCCTGAGACTCCGTCCTACTGACTCTCCAGTAATTCCAAGTGTTTTGCCAGCCGATCTATATCGGGCACACGCAGAGAGATGTAGTAATAGATTTTGTCATCGCAAATAAACCACGCGACCAAGTTGGGTGAGAGAGTCAACAGTGCGTCTGTCTACTCAGAACTAAGTCCTACTGAGTTTGGTGGAGCTTTCACCCAGGTAAGTGGGCATAGGACTGCAGCCCAAGGCTTTAATCCTATCCACGTTTATCTGGGAGTGAGCCCCAGTGAACAAATTCACTTCCTCGGAAACACGTGAAAGCGCGCACCCCAATCCTATGCATATTGACCTCTCGCCAGAGGCAATTAAAGGGGGGGGGAATCGTTCTGCACAGACCTCAAACGCAATACATTTAAGTTTACACTGTTCTCACGTTCTGCTGAGAGTCAATAGGTGTAGATAATAAGCCTCGTAATTGAGGCTTGGTTGGAGGATGCAGGCACCCCACTTGATCACCGTGGAAGATGAGTGGCAGGTGAACGTCACCTGGTTTCATTCGGATGACTGAGGGGGAGTAGCGCGTTGATCCTGAAGAAGAAAGAAAAGATCGTTAGGAGGCTGGCACGCTCCTTACGACCAGTTGAATGGGGACCCGGAAAAGCGGCCTGCAAATAGACACAAGAGAGCGTGCAAGCTTATTTCCCTGAGAAGCATCGGTTGTAAACTGATAAACAAAGTCCTGCCTGGCTGCCGTGGCCCCTTCAGGCGCGCAAAATCAACCCTTGGCGCTGTAGTCCCCACCAGACGATTAACAGGGAACCAAAAAGGAGGGGAGGGGAGACCAGCTGCGCGATCATCTGCGCGTTTACATTGAGGCACATCCGCGGTGTCCCACACTCCCTCTTTCGCGTGTTTACTGTTTGAGGGTCGCCGTCCCGGAGAGATTTCTGTTTGCGCGCGAGCTGTTTCGCAGATCGTTAACCACGAAGTGCAACCCGAACATCCCTCTCGACTTGAGCGGATCTCTGTGTCTCCCCCACAGGTCATTCACTGCAGCGGCTACCTGAAGATCCGCCAGTACAGCCTGGACATGTCTCCCTTCGACGGCTGCTACCAAAACGTCGGCCTGGTGGCGGTCGGCCATTCCCTGCCCCCCAGCGCCGTGACGGAGATCAAGCTGCACAGCAATATGTTCATGTTCCGGGCCAGCCTGGATATGAAGCTCATTTTCCTCGATTCCCGGTAGGTCGGCGTCGGGGCTTCCTCTCCCCTCGCCCTAACAGCACCGACGTGCCAAATCAAAGCAACCGACCGGCTTTCTCTCTCTCTTTCTCTGTATCTCTCTCTTTCCTGGCAGGGTAGCCGAGCTGACCGGTTACGAGCCTCAGGACCTGATCGAGAAGACGCTTTACCACCACGTCCACGGCTGCGACACTTTCCATTTGCGCTGCGCTCATCACCTGCGTAAGGAGCCTCTCCTCTTAGCACGCTTGAAGCCCCTCGCCTAGGCAGGTCGCGCTGAGTTCCCTGGGACTTACTCCCAAGTCAAAGTGGGCTGGCTGGTGGGCTGTCTTACTTGGGTATTTCCCACGTAGCTGCGTGCGATCCTAATCAAGCTTGATGGAAGTCGTGCTGCGTTCATGGGGACAAGCATGCATAGGATTGCGGTAGCTGCTGGGAGCCGGGAGAAAGAAAGAGTAGGCAGCACGATTGAAACATTTCCCCAAAGCACCATTCAATTGAAATAAGACCCCAGGGAGGAAAAGTCTCCAACACAAAGCAAATTTGTCTCCACCGCAGCCCTTTAACCATAAGCCAGGCATAGGCAAACTCGGCCCTCTAGATGTTTTGGGACTACAACTCCCATCACCCCCAGCTAACAGGACCAGTGGTCAGGGATGATGGGAATTGTAGTTCCAAAACATCTGGAGGGCCGAGTTTGCCTATGCCTGCCTTAAGCACACGATGGGACAGTTTGCACTCCACTTGACAAAAAGGTATCTTTTCTTTCATAGTCTGAAGGGATGATGTATTTGGGATTAGGGGTTGAGATTCCAGCTGAGTCCAAGAGGACCAGGGTTCCTGCACCTTGTCATCATCTTGCAGAAATTGGGGATTCCGCCTTGCAAACCATACCTGTTGAAAGCCCCTCTCCTGCACTGTGATGGTAAGGCACAGGGACCCTGGTCCTCTTTTGCGTTGGTCACCCCACCACTAGGCAAAAAAGAAAGTGCTCGATTATACTGCAAGCTAAAGGAATAGATGTGCTTCATGGATAATCAACTTGACTTTTGTGTAGGAGGGGGTGGGATGTCTAGATGAGTTTTCCTATGTCATTCCTTAACTCCAAAATAATCTCAGGCCTATTAAGGCAATAAGAGACCCAACTCCACCCCTCTAGGTTTATTTTTAGAAAGCAACAAAGGATATGCACTTCCCTCATGCCTTCTGCTGAACTGCTTTATGATGTGTTAATGGTGGGTGATGGAATAGATTTGGCTTGAATAAATGACATGGTTTGAGAAAGGGCTGTGAGAAATCGCCTCTCAAGCTTGGTATGAGTGGGAATGCAACTTCTTAACAGAAGAACACTTTGGGTTTAGTCTTCAAATCAATTACAATTTTTAAAATTTTTGTCAAGTGATTTTGATGGGAAATCCATACTACCTCCTTGCCAACCTTTAATTTTGGGTTCTCTCTTTTGGTGTGTTGGTCCCTGATTCTAATTATATTTACAAGGGTGTGGATCCTATAAGGTTCATTTTAATTTAGGGCAGGGCTTCAAAGAATCATCTGATGTTAGTGGCTTGGAATGCACTTTTCCAGAGAAGATCCTCATCACTGCTTAAACCGGCTTGCTGCTTGGTTTGCTCTTTCCTAGCTCTGTGCTTGTAACTGTAATACATACCACAATGGTGATAGAGACAGAAATTCAGCTGGTGAAAGGTATTCTGTAACTACATCTTCCTGCTGGGGAAAGTGGGTACTGTTAAAGGTGGGTTATGTCTTTCCAAAACACACAAAGGGTTAGCCCTACCTGCTACTGCAGACTTCAGACTAAATAGAAGTGATTGCAAAATTGTTCTTAAGTTGGAGACACTGCACAGGAAGGACTGGGGTTTTGTGTCACTTTAACAGCACAATCCTACACGTTTCCACAAAGAGGGGAATCCAACCGAGTTCAGTGAGGTTTTCTCCCAGGTAAGTGGGCACAGAATGCAGTTTAATGGTGCAATCCTATGCCCTTTTCTAGACACACACAACTCCCAGTTTGGGAGAGGTGATGAAAGGGGATTGGTTTATGACAGTTCAGTGGACATAAATTTATCTTGGGCTTGTTGTAGGTGGGGTGGCAGGGGTGTGGCTGGTACGGCGTTAGAACCTTCTAGATCTTCCCGTGGCATGCCCCTGAGCTGCCCTGCACTGCAGTGTTAGGGGATCAAAGATCTGATAGGGGATCATCCTCTCTGAGGAGGTCTGATTTATTCTATTACCTCTGGCCATATGAGTGCAACATAAAAGTCTTAAATCCAATTAATCCAGGTTGTTTTGGTTATGGTCCACAGCTTTTGGGACCCATCCTAATTAAATCTATAAGTCTATAGCTTTAAATGTGTGTTGCACTTTTAATTGCTGCCATTCTGCACGCACTGACTTGAAAGCACCGCTGAAAACAATGAGACATTTAAGTAAACATGGTAAAGGCAGGCTTGCAAAATATTTTGTTAATTCTGAGTCTCAGGTTTTGAGTGTTCAGTCTAAATTCTAATATATTTAACCAAATTTGGGACAAGGGTGAGCTCTCAATATCTGCATTACAAAGACAGTGTCAAATTTGTTAGTTAAAGTTTGGTAATTCATAGTTAGGAAGCTTTACAGTACAATCTTTTATGACTGCTCAGAAGTAATTCCCATTAAGTTCAGTGGGTCTTACTCCCAGGTAAGTGTGTATAGAACTGTAGTTCAGTCTGCTTTCAGAATTGCTATGTTGATGTTTGACAGAGAAGGAGGTCATGACAGCTGAACTCTTTAGTAGTGTAGACACTACAAAGCCTTTAGTCTCTCTCATGACTGCCAGGAAAAGGCATTTTCGCTAGAGACCATAAGAATGCCTTTTAATCTAACTGCTGACACTTGTGAACTCCTGTAACATAATAATCACATGCCAGAGATTCATTTTAAATTTGATTGACACCCTGGCTGTGAAGTAGACTGACTTTTGCTGTTAATGATTGATTGTGCTTTTGAGTTGCCATGCCCTTACAGTAGAGCATTACGTTTCTACCATCTGCCACCACTTTGGTCAGAATTGTAATGGGAAGTGCGGCTTCTTTCAAAATAGGTGGAGGACCACAACTCCCACCATCCTTGGCCACGCTGGCTGGGGCTGATGGGAGGTTGAGTCCAACAACTTATGGAGGACCACAGTGTAAGTCGATGTGGTGGTCTGGAGAGGTGCCACTCTTGAAAAGACATAATGTGCCCAATGACCTTAATGTACATCAACACGAATATAGAGGACTGGTAAAACCACATTCTATTTCTTTGCTGAGAAACACCGACAACATCTCTCCGAGTTCACTTCTAATTGGTCCCACTCAACGCTATTCAACTTTGTTGAAGCGAAAGGGAAGTAGTTCTGGATAAGAGACCACCCGGTTGCCCAGAGCTTTCTAAAAAGCAGGGCACAAGTTAAATCACTGAAATATAATAAAGAAAATGGAGCCCTTGTAGAGATTTGTTAGAGTTCCTCTTTGAAGGTAAAACAGAAATGGAGTAGCTGCTCATTAAATAAATCAGCCCTTCTATTTCTTTTTCAGTGCTAGTGAAAGGTCAAGTTACCACAAAATACTACCGCTTCTTGGCCAAGCAAGGTGGCTGGGTCTGGGTGCAGAGCTATGCCACCATTGTCCACAACAGCCGATCTTCACGGCCTCATTGCATCGTCAGCGTCAATTACGTGCTCACGTAAGTACTAAATCCCACGAGGTTTCTTGTTACTCCCCAGCAGAGTGCCTGTGTCAACGCACATGAACATTGGGGCATTGCACACCAAAGTTCTGCTAAGGCGCCAGTCCCATGAGTCTTGGAGAAGGGCTGTTGGAGAAAAATAAGTGCTTGATGGATTGCATCAAAGGTGCTCTTCTTTTTATTTTGCCTGTCATGGAACTGCTTTAAGTGGGGGTCATAAAAAAAGGCAAATATTTCAGTCCTGCCAAGAAAACTCTCTTTGGCCCAGGGCTTGAGTTGACAAGGCCCATCCTTCTCCACGAGCTTGGTAGGAATCCACAAAGTTCTTTCATCTGCCTGAAAGCTTTTCCCTCCTGTCTTCTTCTGTTTCCCTAGAGGGGAAAGAACAAGATTTAGGGCTTTGTCACCCCTTGAGTTTGCTCCTTCTCCGCCTTTTTACAGTTGAAGGGAGCACCCTGCATTAAATAAAGTTTAATGCAGCGTAAAAGAAAGGTTTCAACGTACGGAGTTATTTATACTTAACAAACAGGACATCTGTTTTTCTTTTGCTCCCAAAAAGGGGGGGGAAAAACCTGGGAGTTTGAAGTTCTTAATTTTATCCAGAGTCTCTATCAAAGCCCCATGATTTCTTTCTTGTTCAAAGGGATGGAGACTTGCATGGAACTAGGTGGGGTGACCAGAAGGGGTTCAGTTAGCAAACTAATAAAATATAGGGGGGAAAGGGGGAGGAAGAGTAATGAAAATGTTGACTTTTGCCCTCACTCTTTATCCCATCATTGTTAATATTTAGGCACTGCCAGAGGTAGAGGTCTACATGGATGGTATTAGACAGCATACTCAAGGTGACTCCCATGTGAATTTGTTACCTCTTAATGCAGTGCACAGAGCAATCCCTAGGTATATTAACTCATAAGTACATCCCACTGTGTTCAATAGATAAACACTCATACAGGAGTGCAGACTTAGTTGCTTTCTGTTTTCAGGAGTAGAGTTGTTAAAGGGTAGTTAAGGGGAGATTCTCTCCCACCATCTGTAATTTATTTCTGGCTGTACTGGCTTACCTGTCAATAAAGTCCCATTGCTCTCAATGGGACTCACTTCTGAACAGACATGTCTAGGGTTGCTTTTATGCAAGGTGTCATAGAAAGTACTATGTGATTTGGCTCACTTGTGTGATGTTTTTATGCTACAAAAAGGTAAAAGTAGCCAAGGTCCATATTAGAGCAAGAATACCTATATTAGGCCAACCCAAGTCATGTGCTTTCAGTGAAGAGAGTGAGAGAGACCATATATTGAAAGCACACTGCTTTCCCCCAAAGAATCTGGGGAACAATAATTTGCGCTTCACAGAGCTACAATTCCCAGCACCCTTAATGAACTTAAGATTCTTGGGGGAAGCCATGTGCTTTAGATGTGTGGTGAGGGTGTAGTCAGAGAGACAGAGAGAAAAGCTGGTAAAGCTAGCATAGAAATCCGATAAAAGCAGCCCTTTCGGTACCATTGTATTAAATTTAAGGAAGTTGGTGGCATTGCAGCAGAATCAATAGATATGGATCCAGATGAGGGGAACAGTATTTGATGGGGGCACAGAAGAGGGGAAGTATATTTATAGGGGAGGGAGAGGCTGTGAAAAGCACCTTTCCTTCAAGTGACCATAGGGGTCTACCAATGGGGAGCAGGGAACTGACTGTGTGTGGGGGGAGCACTTTTCCTCCATTTTCCCTCTGGTCAGCCTATGCCCCAAGGTGCACCCAGAGCTCAGCACTTCTTTTTGTCTCAACAACATGCTTTGACCATAAGGAATCTGAATAATAACATTTCTGTAAAAAATTGTGGGACAGTGAATGTTTTGCCCACTCCTTTTTACACCCTCTCCCCACTATTTTCCTTCCTTGTGCTGCCTTAGGTATTGGTTCCAGTCTGCCTTGCTAATTCTGAATACTTAGAGAATCTAGGTGTGGTAATTATTTTAGATTGCTTGATTTGGATTGTGTATCCCCAGCCCACAGGCTTGCTAATTGAGAAAGTTCAGGTGCTTCTTTTGTTGCTAATAATGTTGTCACTGCGGTGATTAAAAAGCCACATCCTGTGGCTGCTGATGGAGTGATCACAGTTGCTGGTTATAGCGGTTTACCTGGCACATCTGGTGGGCCAGTGGGCTGGCTTGTTTCTCGTTACTGCCAATTAAGTAGATTTTTGCATTGATTCTCTTCTCTCTCCTTTGCTTTGACAGAATTGCTTTGCTCTGTTTTGAAGAGGGGGGGCATGGCCAGGAAAAGGAGTAATAAGCAAGTGACCTTTGGTTCTACTGTAAAACGTCATGAACTTGCAAATGCCCAGGGACAGTGTTTCCCAAACTTGGGTCTCTGGCTGTGTTGGACTACAACTCCCACCATCCCTAGCTAGCAGGACCAGTGGTCAGGGATAATGGGAACCTGATAATAATTTATTATTTGTACCCCGCCCATCTGGCTGGGTTTCCCCAGCCACTCTGGGCGGCTTTCCACAGAAACCAAAAATACACTAAAATCACACATTAAAAAGATTACAATCCCACCCTTGGGCTTGCAATCTAAAGGACAGGACACAATAGGAAAGTAGATTGGGAGAGAATAGGAAGAAAAAGCAAACCCAGGAATATAACAACAATAATTCTATTATTTAATACCCCACTCATCTGGCTGGATTTCTCCTGCCATTCATTCTTACAAAGTTCTTCCAAGGGTCAGCTGGAATGGAAACAGTGCAAGGAGAGGAGAAGCCAGCAGATTCTAGTCTCTTGGCTTTTGGTCCAGCTTCCCACATCTCCCTCTGCTGCAGACTGTCAGTTGATGGAGGAAGGAGCCTTATGGAGCTGCTATCTTGTTAAGAGCTGATGGAGTGGTCCTGATTTCCTTCTCCTGCCCTGCTGCAGCTGGATAGAATGACAATTGCTCAATGGTGTCACTGGGGAGGAAAAGGCGGATTGGACTGTACAATGACTTACCAATAACTGAATATGACAGAGTCAGAAGACAAGGAGCTGACATTTAAAAATATGTTACCTGTCGGGGATATCATATGCTTTCACCTTTAGGGGAAAATATGGTAATAATGCTCTTCTCCCAGTTTGTTTTCTGATGATAGAATGTAATGGAACCCTGGGAACTGTTCATTTAAAATGAATAACTGAAGGTATTATGTGTAATCTAAAGATAAACTTATTTGGCTTTTCAAGTAATGACAGACAAAACAAACCTTTCAGGACGCTGGAAAGATTTCACTGTATATTTTGTTGTTGTTTCCAAGTGCTTAAAACCTCCTTGGACTGTTATGGGCTACACAGGGTCAATAGGTGGGTACAAAATAAACATTTCTATAATTCTAGGGATCTAGAGGCAAAATTCTGCAAGTTGAGAGGCAAGTGTGGGCAGGTCAATGGCTATGACCTCTGTACGATAGGTTACATTTCAGCCATACAAAAGCTGGTTGGTTTTTCTACACATCCACAATCTCTTCTTCTTCCTTCAGGCAAGCAAGACACTTGATCACATTTCAAGGACACATTGGAGTCAGGCAAAAAGACTTGAGGAGGGTCCAGAGGAGGACTGGAGATATGCGTCGCTTGAGGGGGGAGGTCTGGGGAGCACCCTGAGGGTTACATAGAGAGGCCTGAGGTTCTCCTTAAAATAACTGCCAGTGCAAGGGTTACTGATTCAACAGGAAAGTGCCTTTGCTGATATTAGGAATCTTAGGCTGCATACACACCATGTATTCAAAGCATACCCTCCCCAAGAATCCTGGGAACTGTAGTTTTTTAAAGGATGCTGGAAATTGTAGCTGTGTGTGGGGATAAACTACAGTTCCCACAATTCTTTTCTTCATTTTTTTGGACAATGTGTGCTTTCAGTGTATGTATGGGGTGTACAATAGGCTTCATTGGCATCAGATTATCTTGCTTTGGCACCATAGATGAAGTACATTGGACTGCCCATTTATGATCTTGAGGAAGAGTCTGTTTTCTTGAATTATAGGTTTTGCAGTTTTATATCCCTCATCCCTAACTTTCTCACTAGGAGCACACCAGATGCTGACCCCTCAAATTCCTTCTATGATTCCTCCCTCCACCTCTGCTACTGTTAGGTACACAATAACAATTGCATTTATATATTCAAAGTCCAAATCTCACATTTATTTTACCAGTTTAAATAAGGGTGCTGAATGTATATTTAGTCAAGCATTACAGCACCCAGGGCTTAAGCAGATTAGAAATGAATAAATCCAATTAAAGACCATGTCTGTGAAATTTGATAGGTCACCAGCATGAATGAACTGTTTGCACAGTAACAATAAAAACCCCATTAATGATTAGCAACTTACAAGAGGTTTAATCAAGGATCAAATATATAAGATGTAAAATATTTAGATTAAAAAGAGAGAAGATTTTGAATTCATACCAATAAATATAACTGTTTAATGATGTCTGTCTTTCTTTGGATGGTCATATTGCTGTTATGTGTCTTTTGCTGGTTACTCATCATCATAAGCTGTAATGAACCTCTGGGGTTGTCTGCCCAAGATCTTGAAGTATACAAGAACTAATAGATGTTCATTCAGTTCTGTCTCAAAAACCTTCCAGGAATGGAACCTACAGATTCACTGGGAATTATTCTTACTATTCACTGGGTTCTGCTGTTCCTTGCACGCAAACCATGCGCTTCCCAGCCACTTCTCAGTTATGTCTCAATGTCAAGGAACTGCAACTTATTTTCCATTTTCACTTAGGAAGACTTTTAAATGGGAAGAGCTGTAGCACATGCAGGAAGTCCCAGGTTCCATGCATGGCATCTCCAGGTATGGGGTCTGAAACTGGCATTTCAGTGTCCAATCTGCCTAATACAGCAGTATTTAAGTTTAACGTAATTATGAAGCAAACAGAGCTGGTTACTTTACACTGAAGTCTTAGGTTGGTTATAGATTGGGCCATGAAACCAAAAGATCCAGCAGCAGCCTCCTGAGACATATTTGAGTTTCTGTGGCGTTAACCCAGTTGGAGTCAATGGGACTGTGAACTGACCTAAATCCTCATGTTTTCATTAGCTCCAATAAAGTTCCATTTACAGAAATATTAACGCAGTAGGTTTCTATGCTGCTTCTTAGCTGAAGCTTCCAAACCAGCTCACATCCTCCATGAAATAAAAAGCCCATTGTAACAATACCATCTCTTGATTCTCTTTGCATCAAGGCCAATGGTGAAATCTCCACTGGAAGGTTTAACTATCAGCTGTGATGGGAGTCCAGGTTAGCTCCAGGTCAAGTGCTTCCAAAAATCTCATACAGAATGACTAGCCCAAGATCATTTGAGATTCTTATCGTAACAGAATGAGAAATTGAACTTGGATCTTGTGATGCTCAATCCAACAGCACTCATATTAATGGTCCCCCCTCCCAACATGTAAAAAAGATTGCCTTGAAGATTGAGGTGAAAATGTCTAGTCTGGGAAACAGCCGGGGGTCCCTATTAACTTTGCATGTAATGGGGGATGCTCTCCTACTGGTGTGTGAGGATTTACATTTCTGTGCTATTAATACAAATAAGAGATACTGTTTATGCATAAATGCTTGGATATTAAAGTAGAAATGCAAAGGTTGGCTTTGAGAAGATGCATTCTTAAAGGAAAGATGGGAGGTGTTGAAATTGGCTGTTTTATCTCTCATCTAATAGGCTTTCAGTGTATTCTCTGCAGACATGCTGCTAAAAAGCACCTATGAATTTAAAGTAATGGGAAATTATGCTATATATAAAAAAACAACCAACACGCTAGCTTGCCCAGTGTTAACATTGCAAGATTCATGGGCACCACCTTCTCTGAAGGATTGAGGGGGCCCGTGTGTGATGTCACATGGGGGCCTTCTGAAGATTGAGGAAGCCTGGTCCCTTAAAAAAAAGGGGGGCGGCACAGTGCCTAAGCCCCCAAGAGCTGGCACCCTTGGCAGGATTACACCAAGTTAAAAGGCTATTGTTTCATCTGAAACATTGAATCAAGTTTCCCTCTTTATAACTTGGGTGCCAATTCAGGGTGATGTTGAGGGGTTTTGTGGAACAAAAAGTTGGCTAACATTTAAATGCTTTTGTGAACTGTCTGAAGTGTCCTTTGGTATGCTTCATGTACCTTGGTGCCTGCCCATACAAGGAGCCTAGATTGAGAGAGTAGGGTAATGTAAGCTGCTTCCAGGAATCTTCTTTATTGGGAGATGGGGGGGGGAGAGATCTGTGAAATTGTTTGGACCCTAGTTGAGAGCCAGGAGGCTCTTGAGCAGGGAGATGTGTCAGAAGGAGAAGGAATTGATATTGGTCTATATTTTTGAATAATTTATATTAATGGGTTTCCATAATGTATTTGTAACTATTGTTGCTTTTCGTTTTCTGCACACCACATTATTCTTGGATACAATGTGGTATAGAAATGGTCTAAATAAGTATCTTCTACTTCTGATTTGCTTGGATAGCTCAGCTGGTTACAGCATGGTGCTGATAATGCCAAGGCTGCAAGTTTCAACCCTGTATGGGACAGCTGCATAATCCTGGATTGCAGAGGGGTGGGCTAGATGAGCCTCAGGGTCCCTTCCAACTCTACAGTTCTATGGAACATCAGTTGGACTTGCAAATCTCTCTTCTGAAGGAGCTAAGGCTGAAATCACTGCAGCTTGCAGCATCCCACCTATCTACCCTCTCGCTTTCGAAAAAGAGCATCTCTTTCTATGTGTGTTTTCACATTGCTTATGCCTCTTCCCATGTATATGTAGCTTTATAATTGGCCTTTATGTGTTAAAATTTTCAATTTGTTACGACAGTATTCGCTTTTGTTATTGTCATTTCCTGCCAGGGTTTTTGCTAGCTGATTGGGCAGAGACAGCAAGTTAAATGTTCTTTTTTTGCTTTTGGTGTAAATTCAGTCTCCAGCCTGCAGTGTCTGTGTTTATGGAAAGGCAGTAAAATACACAAAAAGGCGGCGGGGGGGGGATCTGCAGTGATTAGTACAATAACTCAGCTTCTCTTCTGAGATCAACCTATTTCTTAAGCACAGTGATTTATTCCTCCTAGAGCCCACAGTTCAATTCCTCTAACTGGGTGGCTCCAGGGTGAAGGAACTTGAGTTGGCAGAACAAGAGCCTCTTTTTCCAGGTGTAACATTTGCCAGACTGCTGTGCAGCAGAAAAGTGGCATTCAGAAAGGTTTTGCCCCTCCTGAAGTAATCGAGTCCATTCTACCACTTCCAAACTCAACTCATTAATTCTGCTGCATGTGAAGCTACAGGGAGGCTATAGAATTTGGTGCTGTAAGAAGTGGTGATGGTTGGTTCCCACCCCTTTAGAAGGGGATTAGACAAATTAATGGAAGATAAGACTATCAATGGCTACCACCACCTCCAGAATCAGAGGCACCATGCCTTTGATTAGTCTCTGAGAAAGAGGCCTGTTGGCCTTGTGTCCTGCTTTTGGACTTCCTTTAAGCATCTGGTTGACTACTGTGGGAAAGCAGGATCCTGGATTTTGGTCTGATCCACCAGGGCTTATCCTATGTTCTCAATGTAGGTTATGAATGTAAGCCAGGCCATTGTACAAAACTTCCATTATGTCTCGACACCCATTCCATTGAAATAAACACCAACGGACACAAGGCAGAAACCTGACAAATGACCAGAAGCATTTGTATATTCAGATTGATTGTACCTCATCTGTCAATCTCTAGACAAGCCAACTTTTCAAACCACCACATTAGTTTATAGTGCTCCGTGTATTCCCAGTTATAAATATTTTTGCATGTGGTATAATATAGACTAGACCTGTCACTTTTATACAGGAGGTCTGGCTTTGCCCAATTCTAGTTAATGAGCCACTGTTCTTGGCTTGTTTAAAGTTATGTAATGAATTAACTCTAAACTAATGAGTTATCCACACTGCTGTCATTTTAATATATACAAAGGCCTGCACCACAAACACTTCAGGTGGATTTCCTTGACTAACTCTAGAGCAAAATTTGGAGCAAACTTCAACACATCTAGTAGTTTAAGGGATTTCCCCCTCAGGTCTCATGTGTAGATTATTTTTTTTTTTTTATAAAATTTTTATTGGTTTTACAAATTTTTAAAGACAAACAACCAAAAAAGACATACAAACACGTATAATTTCATAACATTTTTTCATAAACCTCTTTTCCAGGACTCCCCCATACCCCCCCTTCGTGCATCCCAATGTCCACGATTTTTTAGCAACTTCTAAATATTCCTTTCCAACTTTTGTCATCTTAGTCTGTCTCATGTGTAGTTATAATAAATGAATCCTCTTGTTTGTCCCTTTGAAAAGCCTCAGAAATTTGGATATATTTCTTAGTGATTGTCGTCTTAGACCATTTTGTGACTGTGTACTGTTATAAACCTTTCCTTCCAATGGATGGTTTCAATTGTATATATTTATTGCCTTCATTAATGCTTGATGCTCTTTGTTGTGCCACCTGCATTCAGTGACTCCTTATTGACATATGGAGCACTGGGCATGAAATTTAACTATGCTCATCACTACATTTGAAGAATGCTCTGTATGAATGGACAGTCTCCACTGCTCATGTAGAGCATTCTCTTGTCCAGGGAAGGACTGTTTGATGTGTACCTTTGCTATTCTCTCTTTTATTTATTCCTGAGCCGCTGCCTCCCCTTTCCACCTTTCTTCTGTAGTCTGGAAAGAGACACACATTTGCTACAGGTCTGTATATTTTATGGGATGATTTCTTACAAAAGGGACCAAGACACTGCATAAAATGAAAGCTATACAAGTTAACCTCAAGTTGTCTTGGATGGTATTAATTTCACCTTATTCCTTTTATCCAGGGATACAGAATATAAAGGACTACAGCTCTCATTGGATCAAGTTTCAGCAACAAAGCCATCATTCCCATATGCAAACTCAACACCAACAATCACTGACAACAGAAAAGGAAGCAAGTCACGTCTGCCGAGCACAAAGTCAAAATCTAGGACATCTCCATATCCACAGGTATGAATAACATGATTTTTTCATTATTATGGTTGTGCTTCATATGTTTTAAAGAAGGTCTAACTCCATATAAGGGAGTTTCCTATGCTCCCATGTCTTGGAGAGACCCCATCTGAAGCTCTGGAGATCCATTGCCAGTTGAGTGTAGACATATCAAGCTAACTGGATCAATAGGTCTGATATGGAGCAAGGCAGCTTCCCCTGCAACATATATTCTATGTTCATGTGGGAAATAAATTATCTAACTCTGGGGCCACAACTGAAAATATTTTTCTTGGTGTCTCTGTCTGCTAATCTTACTTTGTAAACCATATAATATTTAAAACCATATAATATTTTAATATTTAAAATAAATAAACAAATGTGTGTGGGGTGTGTCCATGTTAGTGATTAGGACATATGGAGGTAATTCCATCACATCCTTGCAGCTCTCCTGCAGAAGAGAGCTTCTCTACTTAATGGAGGCTGCCTGCATGGTTTTGAACTCTAGTAGATTAAATGATGAGGAAAAACTGAACATATGAGGTGCGAGCAGGTAGTGAGCAGAGAGTATTATGAAGGTCTGTGGGCAGGGCTAGCTCTTCCATTAAGCTGAGTAAGGCGGCTGTCTCAGTGTTGGTGCAGAGAGTAGAGTTGGGGAGGGAGATGTGCTTGATTTATTATATGAAATAAAAGTAATAGAATACATCAATGCTGTTTCAGACAGTAAAATTTCAATTTAAGCAGGCAGCAAATCCTACCATACCTACATAACCTTGATCTAAAGAATGGAAGAAACCCCACCTATTCTCAAAAGCCTCCAGAAGTGAGCATGACAATTTTGCCAGCAGGACTCACACTAATTGTAAATTAAGAAATGCAGAGGAGGAATAGCATACCTGTCCTTAAGAGTGTGTGTGTTCCTTCCTTGTGAACACTGATTGAAGGTCCTTGCTGGAGCTAGGAGAGCCAGCTGACTTTTTGAAACCTGGGGGATTCATACCATTTTGGTCAAGGTGTTCCAAGAGAAAAGAGAGGAAGGCCTTCAGATGAGCAATTTCTACAATTTCCAATAGTTCTACTGCCTTTCCCCCAGAGTTCCTGCCCAGCTTCACCTGGTCCATATTGCAGATTAAGTGTTTGAAAGGAAATCATCCTGGTGGGGTGTGACTGAACTGATTATCTTTTGTCTGCTCACTGTCTTCAAATTATCAAATTATCAGGTGGTGAATAAAGGTTACCAGATGTCCCCATTTCCCGGGGACAGTCCCTGGATTTATACATCAGTCCCCATACAAAATCCATTGAAGTTGAAAAGTGTCCCTGGATTCATTGAAAAAAATCTGGTAACCTTAGAATAGACTGTATGTATTGGCAACTAAATGTACATGTGCTGACCTTTATGCAAAGTGTGAGGAACTCAGGGTGTTTCCTGAATGCCCTCAGGGCATGTTTTGAGATCAAACTTGTACAAAGGTCCCCAGAGTTCATCATGTCATATTAGAGCTATGTCAATTTTCTTACCTATGCTATGATCTACAGTAATAAACAACAGAATAAGTACAGATTGACACACACCTATTCACAGTACAGCAGAAATTGACAAGAGGTATTATTGATAATGATCATCTGAATGTAATCTTTCCTTATAATGACCGTATAATGAAAAGTACTCTTTCTATAATGGAAACACTTGGTCAGCATCTGGCATGACCTTTCAGGGGTTCTTCTGCAATTTATTTTTTCACGCTGTTGGAGAATTGTGTTTAAGCCACTGATTGGAATGTTATTTGCAGCTGTTTAACTCCAAACTTATTTACTGTAATAGCCTTGGCTGATGAGTGTCAATGAAATTCTGTTAAGCTTTCATGTGATGAATATTGATATCTCCTCCAAAAGCTAACCATCTCATACTGCAGCCTGTTATTTTCATTTAGAAACTTTTGTTTTGTTGATTAAAAAGGACTGTATAAATAATGGGTTGGATCCAAAGGTGGCTTTGCAGAAAGGGCTTCTTACATAAATTAGGATATCTGTTTTTTGTTTGTTTGTTTGTTTGTTTTGTTTTTGCCAATCCCACCACCACCACTCTCCAAAATACGCTTCCAAAGTCTGGGGAACAAAGAGTAGAAAGGAATAAAATATGACATGGCAGGGTAGCTGCAGTACTTGGGTGGTGTGTGAGGGGGTCAGATTAGTGATAATCCAGTATCCACTAAGGCAAAGTTGTCATAAGATACCACTCAACACATTCAGCCCACCAGACTTCATACCAATAGACCCATACAAATCTTTTCCAACTCTGAAAAACACAAGGGAGAATCTCTCCATTTTCTATTGCTAAAAGTAACCCCCAAACTGGCATTGACTCACTAGCAGCAGAGGTTAGTTTAATAGTTGTGCTGTTACTTTAATCTAAGCCTTTTGCCATCTGTTCTGCCTACAACAGTGAATGCAAAATGAACATACGTAAGATTTCAGAGTTACATTAGTAAAAAGCAAGATAAAAGTGATTTAAAAGCATTCATATGTTCTCTGAACAGTGCAGACTGCATCTGTGATTCCCCCTCAAGTTTCAGGCACAAATTAAGAAAGTTGCAAATGCCCAGTACTGCAGAAACCTTTGATAGCAAAGGAGACTTTATTGAGAAGGCTTTTCTCTCCCTCCTCCTTTGTAAGAGCAGTTGTGTTGCCCAGGAATTGAAATAAGAGTCACATAGGTTGTAACACACATTTGACTTTGGGTGTGAAGCCTGGTTCTGTTGTCCTTGGCCAGACTGGCACTGAGACCTATCAAGGTCTGATGGGAAGGGTTTGTGTGCTGTTGCCCCAAGCCAGTCGGCAAGAATGTGCTAGCGCTTAGCAGCTTAATAAAGTTACAACCCGGTGCATACTGATGCATGCTTAAGTTCCCCTGAAATCTACCGCGTGCATTCTCAGTTTTCTCAGCCTCTCTTCTTAACCTAAGTGTTTTACAGCTTTGTAACTGGTAAGCCGATCTGTTCCCCTGAAGCAGCTTGCGTTGTAAAAGCCTGAAAATGTAAGCTTTGCAGCTCTTTCAACAAGAAAAGGAGGGAGTTGGGGAGCTAGACTCTCGTAAAATGTATTGATTTTCCTATTTTGTTTCTGTATTTATATAAAGCTTAGGTAAAAAGAGAGACCATGAAAGACTTTACCTCCTTTTGGCTGCTGTCCAGAAACCACTTAGAGCCGACTCACATGATCTGCCCTTTCACTGCATGGGGATTTTTTGTAGCCACCTTGCCAGTGTGATATATAAAGAACCTGATAGATATATATATATATGCTATAATGCATAACTTAATCTGAGCCAGGGCGCTCAGTTACAGAACCTGTTCTTAATGCCAGGGATTGACATCATTATTATACAAGATTTATATACTGCTTACTAGAACAAAAGATCTCTAGGCAGCTTACGGAATACAGTCTATAATATTTATTTTAAAACACCAATAAAAAATAAACAGAGAAACAAACGAAATATAAAATAACACTGGTAATTCAATTACATTCCTGGGCCATGGGCATAGCCAGGATTGGTGGGGGAGGGTAGCCAAAGTTGTTGAACTTTACTGAAAAAATAAGGGTAAAAATACCCTATAAACTGGACATTGTGGGGGGTAGGATTCTGCTGGAGAGGGGGCAGAACCTCTGATAACTGAGTACTTTCAAAGCTTTTCAATAATATTTGTGGATCTACCCCCCCCCCCAGTTATGCCCATGACCTGGATAGTGATGACCTTCAATGATTTTTAGCCAGGTTGAGTATTTTTGAGCATACCCCTGCCCTGCTTTGTGATAAATGGTCTGGAGGGTAGGACTTGAACCAATGGGTTCAAGTTACAAGAAAGGAGATTTGGACTGAACATCAGGAAGAACTTTCTGACAGTAAGAGCTGTTCGACAGTGGAATAGACTAGACTACCTCCGAGATGGTGTACTTTCCTTCATTGTAGGTTTTTAAGCAGCAGTTGGATGGCCGTCTGTCTTGAATGCTTTAGTTGAGATTTCTGCATCTCAGGGGGTTGGACCAGATGACCCTAGGGGATCCCTTCCAACTTTACCATTCTATGATTCCAAATACCATCAAATATCACATATCTGAGGCAAAACCTCCAAATCAGGGGGCTGGAACATGCAAGGAGAGTTTCAAACCAGCTATGATTGGGAGCTCCTGGGCTTTAAAAAAGAATCTAATGATTGCTGCTGGAGGAACTGCTGTTGTTGTTTAGTCGTGTCCGACTCTTCGTGACCCCATGGACCAGAGCACGCCAGGCACTCCTGTCTTCCACTGTCTCCCGCAGTTTGGTCAGACTCATGTTTGTAGCTTCGAGAACACTGTCCAACCATCTCATTCTCTGTCATCCCCTTCTCCTTGTGCCCTCCATCTTTCCCAACATCAGGGTCTTTTCCAGGGAGTCTTCTCTTCTCATGAGGTGGCCAAAGTATTGGAGCCTCAGCTTCAGGATCTGTCCTTCCAGTGAGCACTCAGGGCTGATTTCCTTCAGAATGGATAGGTTTGATCTTCTTGCAGTCCATGGGACTCTCAAGAGTCTCCTCCAGCACCATAATTCAAAAGCATCAATCCTTCGGCGATCAGCCTTCTTTATGGTCCAGCTCTCACTTCCATACATCGCTACTGGGAAAACCATAGCTTTAACTATACGGACCTTTGTTGGCAAGGTGATGTCTCTGCTTTTTAAGATGCTGTCTAGGTTTGTCATTGCTTTTCTCCCAAGGGAGGAGCTGCTATAGCATAACAAATGCAGGACAAAGACAGAGCAGAACATTTATGGGTATAATAAGCTATGAGGTTTATCATGAGGTTTTGGGGGTATGCACAAGTGAGGCCACCAGAGAACTTTTGCACTTGCAAACTATATTGAAAGCAAAATCATGTGTGACTGCCTCAGTAGCTTCACGAGCGCAAATAATCATGAATGCACAATAAAAAAACACATCTGGAGGGTGTGCTTAGAAGTCTGAGCACCAGGGTGCCAACTTGAATGAAATATTGGGTAAGCCCCACCCTGCATAATCAATCACACATGCCATTTGAATGGCAATGCCCATCAACTTTTTTGGGGGGCAGATATTGGCTCCTATGCTGAGCACCTTTGGTGTAAACAGCGGTCAGGTAGGCGGTGACTTCCAGTAGAAAACGGGCAAGGAGTTTCTGATTCAGATTGGAGCATATTCCAGATTGTACCCCATGGCTTTTCCCCAAAATAAATGTGGGTAAAGCACACTTATTTAAACATGAGATCGAGGCTGGTGAAGTACAGCTTGCATTATACTTAAACAGTACTATTATTGCAACATTTGTGTGCTTAAGCAACAGGGCAAAAACACAATGCAAGCTGTCCCTAATATGAAGCACTCTGGATGCCTCTAGTAATGCCATCCTTGGTCAATGCTCACTCCCCCATCTCTTGTCATTCTGCTGGCACACTGGATAAGCACACTGGATGTCAACTCTTGTTCCAGGAACTGCCAGTCCCTCCCGCTGGAAGCTATCAGTACAACAGGAAGAACTGGGCTGACTGGAGATGGTCAGAAATAGATCATATGAACTCTCTGGTGCTCCTTTACTGCCAGTAGCCTTTTAGTTCTGGAAAGTGGTGACTGATTTCAGGAGCGACTCCAGGCCAAATAAGCTCTTAGTGTTTGTCCCAAGTTTTATCTTGTAATTTGACTAGACAAGTCATGTTAACAGCTGTAGAAGAGTTGACAGGAGGAAAATGAGAAGAAACCACTTCCAAATATGGTTGGAATTGGTCAAGAGCATGCTTCTATTTTGGCCTCATATTTCTCCCCCTCTCTTTTAATTTCATTTCTTCTTCAGGAGAACTTAATTTGGTTTCCTGCCCCCAAATATACCTCCACCTTCTTCTTATTTGTTTGTGGAGAGGTGAAATTAAGGTGCATCAAAGCAATTGTTATCTCACACTTTCCGGTGCATTTTCCCGTCGCTCTCCTTATTGCAAAAAGTATTATATTTTGGGAAGTGGGTTTGTTATGGAAGACCTCAGCATTATTTACCTGAGATACTTGTACACCAGAAGCAAATGTTAAAAACAAACAAAAAACCAAAAAAACTGTAACTTCACAACCTGAATATGTGATTGAATTCCACCAGAAAATAGTGACAGTCTAGAAGTGCCATGAATACTACTGTTGAACTAAGTTGAACTTGTGTTTCAGTAAACTTACATAGAATTGCACTGTGATCATCATACCAGTGATTCCTAAAAAATCTTCTGCTTAAGAGTCTTTTAAGTACATGGCTGTGGATTCTGGGGAAGCAATGAACTTAGAAACAAGTGTTTGCAGGTGAGGAAGGGGAAATGACTGCCCAAAAATAGTTTTCTGGCCTCTATAAGCACTTGGGAAATGGTGTCTTCATTTGTCACTTTTAAACCTGAGAGCCAGCAAATAAGTATTAAGGGTGGAGATCAAACTAAGAAGGAAACTTCTTAGCTTGTGGAGTTTAAGTGAAACATCATATTGGCACAGTAAGCCCATAAAGCAGAGTGAGTGGGTGTTGCTGTTACAGCAGTATCACTAGACACAACAGAGCACTATTGTGAAAAGCTCTTGCATAACATGGGATTAAATGGAGAGGGCTAGAGGTGGCAGTGGGTCTGATGCCACTTCATGGAGTCTTAAAAGGATTTTGGCCATTGGGATTGTGGCTGAATAGACAAAAACAGTCCCATTTGACTTCTATAGCTTTTACATTTATGATTTCAATCAGGGTTTTTTTCCAGCTGGAACTCACAGGAACTTAGTTCCCGCACTTCTCAAGTGGGTGTCATTGGTATTATAAGAGAGCAAGGGAGGTGTTCCTGATGAGTTCTGGCACCTCTTTTTCTTGAAAAATAGCGCTAGTTTCAATGCAGAAAGCTTTGTAGTGCTATGTAGCAGTGAGAAAGTAGGCATTCTGATTCACAGCCTAGTTATGGATGCAACTTGTCTTAGTCCTTCTTCAGTTCTAACTCCTCTGTTTTGTGAATTGGGTTCCGAGTTTTCAGTAAATCAAATTGCTTCTTAGACCGTATCCCACCGTTAATGTCTTCTTTCCCCTTTTTCTTTGTATTGCAGTATTCTGGATTTCATACAGAAAGATCTGAATCAGACCATGAAAGCCAGTGGGGTGGTAGCCCACTGACCGACACTGCCTCTCCACAATTGATGGATCCCATTGAAAGGCCAAACTCTCAGCATCACGATGTCTCCTGTGCCTATAGACAATACTCAGACCGCAGTGCTCTCTGCTATGGTTTTGCACTTGACCATTCCAGGTTGGCTGATGACAGACACTTCCACACTCAGGCCTGTGAAGGCAGCAGGTGTGAGGCTGGCCGATACTTCCTTGGCACGCCACAGTCTGGGAGGGAAGCATGGTGGGGTTCCCGATCTGGCCTTCCCTTAACCAAATCTTCTCCTGAGAGCAGAGAAGCCTATGAAAACAGCATGCCTCATATAACTTCCATACACCGAATTCACGGTAAGTGGTAAATGTACTGGAAGGCAGGTTGTGGTAGCAACATTGAGCCAGGGTTTGAAAGGCCTGCCTCGAATGGTCTCAAGTTGACCATTTATGGACCTAACAATGGAGTTAGGAGATATCTGTGGTCTGTTTGTTGACTAGCACCTTACCTGGAAGTAGGGATGGGGGAGAATTTCAATTTGCGTCACATTTAAAGGTGAATCTATCCAATTCAGACATTCCAAAACTGTGTGAGCACCAAAACACAGCCATCCTTCAAAATTCACACTTATCCAAATTTTGCAATGCATTTCTCCAACCAACCAGTGGTTACAAAAATGCATATATTAAGGGAAAGTGTGTGTAAAAATAATTAATTTCTGTACCACTTAATATATAAAAATAATTCTAAATCGTGTGTAGAAAACTAAAGTAGCAGCAACAGGCAACTTAAACAACCAATCAAATGTTGCAAAAATACAGTTCCATAAACAAATAATACATTAATGCAAATTGTGAATAAATACAGACCAAAATCAACATCTTCTCCGTCTAATACACCTCCCTCTCAGCTCCTGGCTCTCACCCAGAGCCCAAACAAACTCACTGCTCCCCCTCATAATCTCACAAAAAAAGAAGACTCTTGGAAACTAGATATTAGTGAGAATGACAAACAAAATACATTATATTTGGAAAAATTGATTTTACCCATCAATATTCAGGGCACTAGTGTGTGTGTGTGTGTGTGTGTGTGTGAGAGAGAGAGAGAGAGAGAGAGAGAGAGACAGACAGACAGACAGACAGATAGACAGACAGACACAGATTTTTAAAAGGACCATTTCAGCCAGTCAATTGTTATTATTCTGCATTATAATTATTGTAATGTATTTATGGCCCACATTTCCCCCAAGTTGGGATTCAAGGTGGCTTGCAACATTTAAAACAACATTATAAAATACAATTAATAAAAAAATGATTGAAATACAACAGAACACATTTAACATCAACAAATTTTATGGCTACTTGTAAGTTAATTCTGCTTGCACAGTAGGACTTCCAAAAGTGTGACCATGATTGAAGTGTCAAGCATCTTTAAAATTAGGGAATATTTTTTCTATTAAAAATGAAGTTTTACACTCATTGGCCATATGTGACAAGTGGGGACACCCCCTGTCAATCATTTAATACCATAATATGGCATCAGGTGGATCTGAACTTTGCAGAAAGCAATGGGACTTGTATTTGGTGCAAAATTTAAATAGTGCTGAATGCAAGCCAATTATAATAATAAAAAAGCCTTCCAATACAGGGCTGCCTTCAGATGTCTTCTAAAAGTTGTCTAATTCTTTATCTCATTGACATTTGAAGGGAGGGTGCTCCACAGGGAGGGTGCCACTACCAAGAAACCTATAACAAAAGAATGATGAGGAGTCCACTCTAAACTGTGCATTTTTTGTTGTTCTTTGGCAGCTGTGGCTTTACCTGTTCCACACCTGATTTCAGGTGTGTGACAGGCGTGTGTAACAGGTGGGCATGGCCAGCCAAAAATCACTTTGTGGGACAAATTGGACAGCTGATTTGGTGGGCCTAGAGTGACCCATTAGTTGCAGGTTCCCCACCACTGCCCTAGAGTCTAAACCAGAATTCCCCAACTTGGTGCGATGTTTTGAACTACAAATTCCACAGTCCCTGACCACTGGTCGTACTGTCTGGGATTGAAGGTTGCTAGAGCCTAAGAAGATCTAGGCTGGCAAAGGCTGACTTGGACCGTGACAGGGGAGTTCTGTCAGTTGTGCCCTTCTGCTGATACTTCAGTGTTGTGAACTGGTCACAAGGTCAGAGAAACAGGTGGTGGGGAGGCTTAATTTCACCATTTCATGGTTGCAGAAGACTTGTAGTTATTATAAGAGTTATATTCCCACTGGGCGTGCGTAAGGTCTGAATGTTCTGCTGTTCTCTGACTGTGTACAGCCCGTTGCTGATTGCTTCTCTCCTTTGTTTTACCCCACTTTCTAGGAAGAGGGCACTGGGATGAAGAAAGCGTTGTCAGTTCCCCAGACCCTGGTTCTGCTAGTGAATCAGGTGACCGATACCACTCTGAGCAGTATCAGGGCAGCCCACACGAGCCCAGCAAAATTGAGACTCTCATAAGAGCTACTCAGCAAATGATTAAAGAAGAAGAAAACAGGCTGCAGTTGCGGAAGTCGACTCCCGATCAGCTGGTTTCCATTAACGGAGCAGGGAAAAAGCACTCTGTTTGCTTCACAAGCTACCACCACCACCAGCAACAACAGCTGAGAGGAGATGCCTGCAGGGTCCCTAGTGTCACCAACACATCTCCCTGCGAACACACACAGCAGCAAGATGGGAAGATGATGAGCCCCCATGACAATGACTATGACAACAGCCCCACGGCACTGTCTAGAATAAGCAGCCCCAATTCTGACCGGATTTCTAAATCCAGTTTGATACTGGCTAAGGACTGCCTTCAGTCAGAAGTGTCGCCTCATCAAACTCCAGGGGATAGCTCAGCAGAATCCCCAAACTATTACAATTCCCATCGGCAGTACTTTGATAAGCATGCATACACGCTAACAGGATATGCTCTGGAGCACCTTTACGACAGCGAAACCATCAGGAACTATTCTTTGGGTTGCAATGGGTCACACTTTGATGTGACGTCTCACCTACGGATGCAGCAAGATCCAGCACAGGGACATAAGGGGACATCTGTTATAATAACCAATGGAAGCTGATGGGTGTTTCCCAACCCCCTTTTCATTTCTCTTCTTTTTTAAAAAAGTTTGTGCTAGGAAAATATCTTTGCAGTAGTAACAGCAGGCACACATGTTTTGATACCCTTGCTGTTACTGGCATTTGATAAAACTACAATGCACTAGAGAGAATACTTGTAAGGTACTGGGGAAGTGTTGCTTTATCTAAGTTACTGTTGAAAATGCACTGGTCTCAGTTAAGGTTACAGCAGTCAGTTGAATCACAAAGCTGATGCTACATTGTGGTGGAGGAGATCTATTCTGGGAGCTTCTGGGGTACATCAAGGGGGCAGATTTTTCATTGTGTGGAAATGTATGAGGATGTAGAGAGAGTGACTGAATTTCTAAGCCTCTGGCTACCCGCCACACCCTCATAAGACAAAAACTGCTATGCACTCTTTCCATGAAAAAGAAAGTGAAATGCAGCCCCCCCCCATTTTAAAGCAAAGCTGTCTGTGCAGTTTCATATTTATGGTGGTCCTGCTTCTCCAGTGACTGCACTGGACTGCTAGATAAAAGTTATGGGGCCGGTGTGGTTCTTTGATAGGGTATTGGCTATTATATGGGTATTTGACCTGGAAGCTGACTTGCTGGACAACAAACACAGACAGGAAGAGAACCGCTTGCTGAGGTCATGTGACAAGGGAGAGACAGAAGGGCAATGAGCCATTCTTATCCTGGTTTGGAGTAGCAGAAGAGATGTAACTGCCAAGGCCATTGACTCCTGGGGCCTGGGGCACCGTGGGGCCCCCAAACATTTTTTTGAAGTGGCAGGGGTCCCTCAATGTTCAGAAGGGGCCCCTGTGCAATGTCAGGATGTTGAGTGCTGCTGCGCATGGGTCCCTTCAATCTTCTGGAAACTGCATAGTTATACAGGAGAGGAGACTATCAGATTGTGATCACTTCATGGGAAATGGTTACATTCTGGGAAGGAGTATAGTAGAAGATAGAGCATAGTGGAAGTTAAGCAAGAAAATGAAGAGCATTCAAACATAATTCATTTCCCACAACTTGGCATGCCCTGTCCTCGGTCTAAGAACGACTGAGTTGTGTCTGGAGAGAGAACTTCCTGATTTGCTAAAATAGATGTGGGGAACATTTGGCCCTCCAAAATGGTGCTGAACTGCAACTCCCATAATCACTAGCCGTTGGCCAGACTTCCTGGAGCTGATGGGAGCTGTAGTTCAGCTACATCTGAAGGGCCAAAGGCTCATCCTACCTGTGCTAAAAAAATAGAAGGGATTGTGGAAAAGTCCAACAGAGGTGATGTTAGAGAGGCTGAGGGTCAGAAACACAGGTGTGTCAGAAAAACAGAAACAAAACTCGGAGGTGGGGAGAAAGGAGGGAAAATTCAGCAAAAGTGTAGAGAATGGTTGGCTTGCCCAGTTTCAGAAAATTCTGAAAATGCATCAAAGCTGGCAGGGATGATAAGAAACAGGCCAGTGAAGTGCAACTTTCAGTGGTCCCATAAGAGCTCTTTGGGAATGATTGGGGCTTATGCAGAGGCCCCAATGGTTGCCGTGAAAATGTTTTGCTATCGTACAAGTATCAACACAGTGTAATGCCTCCTCTGTCACATGCAGAGTTGGTCAAGCAAGTGGACTAATCATGAGACCTGGTATTGATTCGATTATTCCTAATGTTTAAAATTATCAACCACAACTTTGCCGTGACATCGGGAAGCTTTGTGAATTACTGCCACCTGGTTTCTGAGGTATCTTCCAGAGAGATTAGTCAATGTTGGCTATTTAATGAGCATTTATCTTGCTTTGTCTGTAGGGTGGTAGGACGGCACTGCATCAAGAAAGTGTTATCCCTCACTTTCCACTGCATGCCCCTATCACTTTCCTTATTAGAAAAGGTCTGATCTTTGGGGGGAGTGTGTTTTGCAAGATGAATTTTCCAGGATGTATTTGAATCCCACTCAAAAATTGTGATAGTCTGGAAGTATGCTGGGTCTTTAGCATACTATGCCCTGATGTTTCTAAGCCTTTCCTCATAGCCGAAAGTGTGAAATCCACTCGCAATGGCACTGCAGTAATGATGCTTTGGATTGGACTGTGTTTATGATATTCTGCATCATGCAGCATCCTCTATGCTTCTGACTAGCTTTGAAATCCCTGTGACAGGTGCCTAGCCCAGACTCCAGAGCCCCTAAAACGCTCCACATAATGTAGTTGAGATGCCTGCATTGCAAGGGATTGGACTAGATGACTCTCAAGGTCCCTTTCAACTCTACAACTCTATGATTCTATGTATCCCTTCCAGCCATGTGGAAGAAGTGATGCCTAATGTGATACAACCATGTTACTGAATACAGCCTTTGATGATCACAGTATGAGTCTGGCAGCCCATTCCCCCCACCCACATACTGCTTACATAAATCACTCTGAAGAAGTGCCACTGGCAAACATGGTTGTGCTGGGTTAGATCTTACATGATGCATCCATGTGTATGCTCTGGGTGGAAGGTTTTACAGTGTCTGCACATTCTGTCCAAATGTCTGAAGAGTATGATGCTGCAGTCTAAATCTACCTTCTACCCACTCCCCTCTTTCAGTGTAGATTCATTTAGGGTTATGGTAGTAGTGTGCTGTATAAAAAGAAAAAAAGAAAGCTGAGATTCTATGGATCCCAACAAGAGTTGTCAGAGTCCGATAGCACACTCTAGAGTCTGTTTAAGACCTGAAAGGTAATCCATTTGGTGCAGCTGTTTAAGCTAGAAAGTCCATATGCTTGAGCCTCAGCTAGATCTCTTCACAATGAAGTGCTTCTGCAATGCCTCTGCCTGGTTATGACAACGGCCACCTGTTAATTTTAAATGGTTATGTGTTCTATCAAATTTTAAATAAAAATTACATGCTGTTGTACAGCATATTTTACAAAAAGGATAGGAGAGGATTGAAGGAATAGGCTGTCTTGTGCATAAATGAAATTGGTCTTATTTTCAGAGCTTTAATGCCCCCACCCCCAATTAATATTGCGAAATGGTGCATTAATACACCCAAAAGGTGGCTATTTGGTTTAAGATTCAATGCTCCAAATCAGTTGAAACGTGTGCTACGATTTTGGAGTGCTTAACAAATACTGCAAAATGCATGTTGACGTGATGTTCTTCCTCATCTGGAGGACTTCCTGGGGGGTGCTTGGTTTTTTTGTTTTGTTTTTGTTTTAAAACAACAACTAAATGGTTATTTGCTTTCTTTTGCTAATTGGACACTTGCTTTCTTTTCACTGAAACTCAAGTGTTTTTCATCACAGTTTGAACATTCTTTCATGTATCTGCCAAAACCTGGAATCTATCCCCAGAGCTAAAATGCACTTAAAATTAAAGCACGAAATCCAAAATCCAGCCTTTCTGTTGATTTTGAGCTTATATGCAGTCAGTTTCCCCTAACTTTCATGTTTGCTGTATAGTTTTGGTGCAGTTGCCTTCTGTAGAATGAACTGCTCCCAGGAAAACCACAGACTGGGTTTAGCTCTGGCCTGGGTGATTCTGATAGGAATTATATTACTTTATTTGTTTATGCATTTAAAAGTTTTCTTATTTCGTCACATGGCTTTCCTCTGATCTTTCCAAGAATCTGGAAACAATGCAAGTAAAACAGCAAGGCTACTCATTCCCATCAAAATAGCATAAACTGCCATCTATCTGAGGCTGTTATTTTATTTATGGTTGACTGTTACCTCCAGAATGTGCCTCAACAGAAAATTAAATATTTTGATAGAGAAATTCAGAAGCTTTTGCTGTTTTTGCAGAATAGGCACTGCAATGCATTTTTATTTTGAATAATAAAACAATATCATGTATTTATCATGGAGACTACCACAGGACAAGCTAAGGACAACTGATGCTCACTTCAAAGACAGAAAAGTCTTGTGGTTTAATCTAGGCTTCAGATGGGAAGAATATACCTGCTGATGAAAGATGGCTCATTTATGAGTTGTGGCACTCTTCATGGTAGGAAATTGTAAAGCTGGCATTAAAGACAAAGACTTGGAATTCAGAAGGTGGCAGAATGAGCATTAGATGCCTTTGCTAACACAGTTTTGGTAGCCACCCTTTCTGCTGCAGTTGCATTGCCATGTGCTCTTCTATTCTGAACCCATTTTTTTGTTTGTTTGTATGTATGTGTGTTGAGGGTGTGAGGGCTTCATAGGGAAGGAGAAGGCAGGAGAGTCCTGTTCTGTGAATGGAACATGTTACAGTCCAAGCCAAAGTGTCTTGTCCTAGCTACGTTAGGTGCACTTAAGCCACTGAAATCATACCCTTAATTGCACCCAGCTTGGCCACGATTGGGCTGAAAAATCGAAGTGTCCAGTTCTAGTCACTGCTACTAACCTCTCTTTTTAACAGTGAAAACAAATATGCTCAATTATTATTGTAGTCATTTAAGCTATTTATAAAAACAAACTCTTATTTATTTTTAATGCATGTTGCTTACTTTTCAAATGGAAAAAGTGTTCTTAAAACCAAGCAATTACATAGGCTTATTATTAAAGAACAGTGTTTTACTTTAAGAAGAAAAGAGAAATTAATATGCACAACTATTTTCTGTTAAGTATTGATATGGTCTTATTTTTCCTTAAAGGGATTTTTTTAAAGGTCAAACATAACTGTATCCAAGAGCACTTCTAAGATAACAATGCATTTTGCTTTGTTTTTTCACGGACATGCAAATACCCTGTTTCTAAACCAATTGGGTGGTATTCCACTGGCGCAAGGGCATGGGCTTTGAATTCATCAGGGAGGGGTCTGCTAATGGTAAACAGATTTCTGTGGGGACTGCAGGGTGGAGGGGACATCAGCAAAAACCCCTCCCCTCCTCCTATTCCAGTAGTGGATGCCTTCTGTTGGAGCAACAGCAACAGGAGGACCAGCCGGATTCTACCCACTGACTTAAAAGCAGGTCCCATTTATTCTAAAACAAATCAATTCCAAATAAGCATGCTCAGGTTCAGTGAATAAGATGATTACCATAAGCATATTTACTTGGAGTTCCACCAAAATCAAAAGGTCTTTTATCCCATATGATAATGTGTCTGATCCAGCACTCTAAGGCACATACTGAGCTCCTTTTGCGCTCACAGGCATTTCCGATAGCTCAATGGAATGGGCTGCTCTATGCATGTAAAGGAATGTAGGCGTCCTCCATTGAAGTGAATGGGGAAGCTCTGCGGAGCACTTCAGAGCAAATTGTAAAACTGAAGAAAATGTGTTTAGGATCAGGAAGGCCGAAAGGATTACTCGCTAGTATGGCAAAAGTGCAAAGTTGCCAACATCACAAACACCACGACTTGCAATGTTCATGTTCTAGTGACATTGTAGCATAACATCTGTAATTTGAAGTTCTCCTTTGGAATGTAACGTAGGAAACCCAACTTAGCTATGTCACCAATATCTTGAAAATTGTTTCCATTTATAATTATTTATATTGTAAATAGATTTCTGAAGTAAATTTGAAGTCAATGTGTATAAGATGTATTTATTATGTGAAGAAATTTTTCTTTAAAAAATACAGCTACCAATATGTAGTCTCTGTCTGGTTTCTTGATTCTTTTTGCAGTTAAACCCTTATCCTTTGCACAAAGGCAAACGATACTTACCTGTGCAGCATCTCACTCACCTTCTGTCATATCTAAACTAGGTAACTGTGTGCCCAGTATTAGTTTACAATATGATATCTGCCCAGGCCACAGTTATGATTATGCTGCATGAGAACTTAAGACAACCCAGTTCACACAGATTTTAAATTAGACCTGAGGCTGTTGGGGAAAATATTTCTGAAGCAATACCATTGTTATCTAACTGAGAGCCCACGCCAAAGAAGTCTCTACTGTTAAGAGAGTCTACTTTGAGCTGCCACCACAACTATGGTGGCAGCCCACGCCTGGCAAGCAAGGGTGAGAGTCACAGTTTGTTTCCTATCTTGTTTATTACTGATAAAGTTGAAAGGAGGGTTGTTATCTTAGTGGCAACTGGGGATGCCTAAGGCTACTAGGACTCCAAATGTATAAATGCACAAAAGAAACATCTCGGTTATCCTGAAGGCGATGATCAGACAGGCTGCTTGAAGAAAAACAGCTGATTCTGATTTTTTAAAAAGGGGATAGCTTGGCTTCCTGTGATCAATCTTCCAAAGTATGGTAGTAAATATGCTAAACTGCAGGTGCCAGCAGGCTTTGAGGCAAATAACTTAATATGGTTCTGCTTTGTAGTGTTGTCAAAATAACCAAGCACAGTACAACTTCGTTATTTCATGATTCTCCATTATGAATGAATATGAATGATGTTTACTGTTGGAAACTGATAGCATGTGGGAGTAATGCAAACATATCACCGTTGGAGGAATTCATACAGAATATATATTTTAAATAATATTTGTTCCTGGGCCAGCTTTGCGGCACGGAGTAATTCCATATGGCAGCTTGACTTGAGCTTACTCCAAAGTTAACTTAAAAATGTATCTTGGCAAAATGCAGTTGCCCCATCAGGAAACCATTCTCAGCTTCTTCTGAGGATTTCCGGTAGCTTTCTTTAGTGTGTTTTCCTGCTTCCAAATCTCCTTAATTTTTTTTTTTAAACATATAGTGTCTTCAAGGTTCATTTGGAAATAGGCAAATACCACTTACTTTGGAAGCTGTACAAACAGAGTGTGAGAGATCTGATGCACTCAGTATCATTTAGGGTCACCATACTGATTCCATTTTTAGGCGAGCACCTAAGATATATTGTGCAAGATCCAGTGATGTCCGTCTAATTGTGCAACATGTGTCCATTTGCACAATGAGACCTTCAGTTTTTCTTATCCTTCCCTTAGCCCCAAATCTGCAAATGCTCCAGAGAGTCCCCAAATCCCACCCCCAGAGCAGATTTTGGAATTGCAGGTGGGAGAAGAGGAAGGAGAAGCCCTGTTATGCATAGGGACATCTGGCTGCATTATGCTGGATGTCTCCCTCTAAAGTATACATTTTAAAAGGTAAAGTGTGAATGCACTAAATATGTGTACTGTAGAGTTGTAATTGCCTGTAGCATAGGCATTAATTGACTTTTGTATTTTAAAAGGGTGGTTCTCTAAGAAAAGGCTTATTTCTTTATTAAAATTTACACAGCGCTTGATGGTTAAAAAACCTCAAAGCTGTTCACAAAATATAAAAAAGTAAAGTAAAACAACAACAACAACCTTCCTTTGAAACATACAAAATGTAATGAGATCATTGAAAAAATATTGGATGTTTCTTCAAAACACAGACAGCAACCAAAAAGACAAGCAGATGTGGAAACATCCAACAAGCATCTAAAGGGGGTGGGAGTTAAAAGAAAATAAATAAGCACTTGTTCAAATCCCTCCTCTGTTATTCAGCTGAACTGTTTCAAGTAAGAATCAAAGGCCTGTGATATAACTGCAGATAAAGTGCAGTTATTGCATTAAGGTTGCTTCTGAAATGACACTGGGCGTAAATTTTTGAATGAAAGGGCAACTGATTCATTGAGGGCTAGAAAATTCAAAATAAACTGTTTTTGGAAAGAGTCCCTGAGCACAACTGCAAGCTGACCATATTCAGACCATGCAGCTGGCTTTGCAAAATTAACTGGTGTAACTTATTAAAAACTCTTAGCATTTATATGGCGTTCAGTGTGTACAGATCCTTATAAAACCCCTGTAAGGTAGTATTGTTATTATCCTTCCAGATTCCAGTTACAGTAGCTAGATGCAAGTGAGTTGCATAAGGCTGAAATTCCATAGCTTCATTAAACTCAATGGGATGTACTTCTCCGGATATATGTACAGGATTGCACAGTAATGCTATTAAGTACCTCATAACGAGGAGAGATTCATACACAGGACTTCCTAGTTTACAGCTCAGGCTCTGTGATCCATTAAGCTGCATGACCTCTAGCTGTCGAGGAAAGGCATGCATTTATATCATTCCACCCAAGAATTCTCCTTATGGCTGAAAGAAATGTGTCTGTGGCCCTCATCTAAAAGGAAAGAAGCTGTGTACCAACACAATGGCATCAATATTCTTAAGAAAAGCGTAAAGTACAAGATGAAGGGAAAAGTCTTGTACCCATTTGGTCATGGAAGATGTTTTCAAAGGCATCATGATCTATCACAAGATGTTTGGTTGCTGCCAGGCACCAATATCTATTTTTATTGGACACCCCCCAAAACTTGCATAATGCAGCACTTTGTTTTGGAATTAAATCTTAGACTACCACATTGGTAAGATGTGCTGTGATTGTTGCTAGTTCATTTAATGATAGGCAATACATGAGAGAGGGCTTGTGTTTTAAAGAGAACACCCAGTAGCCTTCCTACAGATGAAGCATTTAGTGAAAAATTACAATTTGTAACATGCCAGAGTCAGGGAAATGAATGGTGGGTGGGGAAGGAAGGAATTTTGGTTGCTAAAAGCAATTAATTTCCTGAAACTTCCAGACAGACAAATTTCTGTTTTGGTTATTGATGTGGATGACTTGTTTATGTTTAAATGAAATTAAAATTCCTTATTTACCATTAAATCTTCAAAGCACAAGGGCCAGCCAATCAACGCTCAGCACAGCCACACGGGGTAGGGAAGGAGAAAAGGTTGTCATAGAGGTTGGACAACAGCTCTCTGCGCAGGCAGATTCTCCTACAAATAGAGAGAAAAGGTTGGTTCTGAACATTATTATGCTAGGAATGCTGTAACCTTTGCCCTAAAACACTAAAAATGGATGTGTAGTGGGATCACGACCCAAGTTACATACATCAGTAGTCAGCACTGAGTTTGGTGTGACTTGTTTCTCTAGTATGGGTACTTTATATTAAGAATATAAAACTGTGCCTATAAGCACTTGTTCCAAGGGATAGCAGCTCCTCTGAAACCTCTGAGGCCCCACATTTAAAGCAGTATCATATCATTTTAAATGGTCATGAGTCCCCCCCAAAGAATCATGAGAACTGTAGCTGGTTAAGGGTGCTGGGAGTTGTTAGGCAATTCCATTTTCTACTGACAAACCTACAGTTCCCACCATTCCCTGGGATCAGGGATTGACTCTTGAGCCACTCTGAAAGTTGTAGCTCTGCGAGGGAAATAGAGTCTCCTAACACATACCCTCCAACATTTCTCCAAGGAAAATAGGGATGTCCCATTTCATAATAATAATTTTACTATTTAAACCCCTCCCACCTGACTGGGTTGTCCATATAGAAAAACATAATAAAACATTAAACATTTAAAAAAACCTTCCTTATACAGGGCTGCCTTCAAATTGCTCGGGGGTCATATAACTCCATACCCACCAGCATTTCTCTAATGAAAATAGGGACGTTCTGAGGAAAAGTGGGACATTCTGGGTGTCAAATCAGAAACTGGGACAGCTTCTGTAAATCCAGGACTGTCCTTGGAAAACAGGGACACTTGGAGTGTCTGCTAACAACTCTTAGCACCTCAGTGCTCTTAACAAACTATAGTTCCCAGGATTCTTTGGGTATCATGTTGCTTTAAAAGTACAGTGCAGATGGGACCTATTTAAGGCCCAGCATAGAACTCAGCAACCTGAAGGAGTTTACTGGTATCTCCTTACCCTACTAACAATCTGAGATCAGTTGAGACGGCCCCCTGGTTGCACCATCACTGCATAAAGTCCAGGTAACTGTAGCTGAGTACTAGCTCTAGTTAGTTTTGGTGCCAGCTGAGAGCATTTCTCTTTCACCCAGTCTTTTGCAATTATAATGTTGGCTAGCATGATGGGTGTGACAGCTGGAGGGATCAGTGTGTAGTGTAGTAAAATTTATTGGCATTTATTGCTCAATTGCATTTAGTTTCTCAATGGTGTGACCCACCCTGAGATCATTTCACAGTAATATTTAAAGCTATTAAATAAATACTAGTTGCTTGTCCACCACTCTAGGTTCCAGATACATATCTGCAAAATTTCTGGCCCCTAAGGCTAACTGTATAATTTTAAGTATGTTTACTCAGATGTATCACTGATGTCAAGGGAATAATTGTGCTGTATTGGTTTAACCAGAGTCAAAGCAATGCTTTGTGCATTCTCCAACCACAGCTCAAATATTTACAAAGATGGTAGTAAATCAAAAGTGTTGAGCCTAGATTGACAACACAAGCAAATTTGTACCCACTTTGGCATTACCTGAGCAGTGCAGTAGCAAGATAACCAACTCTTTATGGTTCTGACAAATGCTTAGCTGCTAACATCTGTTTTTATGCGCTTAAGGGTAAACAAGATAATGGGTTGTAATCCGCTAAATACTACGCAGAGTAGCCCAACTGAAATGAATGAACCTAACCTAACCATGCCCATAAACTCCAACGGGCCTACTCTGAGTAGGACTAGGGTAGTCTTGGCCTTACAACTCTCTGGTCTTTTCACAAAACTAAAATCCCCAGAATTTGATGGGGGATGCCCTGGCCATTAAAATGACTAAATCATCATCATCATCATCATCATCATTCATTCATTTCATTTCTATACCACTTTGTATTTTTAAGATAAAGTTTACAACCTACATTAAAACATCAGATGAAG